ATCCATTCATCACTTGACGGACTTTGGGGATGTTTCCAAAATTAACTATTATAAACTGTGCTATAAAAATGAGCATCCCAAAAGAGCTGGGGATTAGCCTAGGCTACATAATTAGTTCAAGGCCAACCTGAAACTATATGATGAGACCCATTCTCAAAAAAAAAAAAAAAAAAAAAGAAAAAATGAGTGTCCACATATCACTGTGGTATGATGCTTTTAATTCTTTCAGGAAAATATGGAAAAAGGGAACAGCTGGGTCAAATGGAACCTCTAGTTTCAGTTTTTTGAGGAATCTTATTTATTATGAATAGCTGTCTGCTCTGATTTGACTGTTTCTTCCTAAATTCGTATTAAAATTTAATCCCTAGTGTGATGCTACTAAGAAAGGGGAGCCCCTGAGAAATAAGGAAGTCATGAGAATTCCACCCTCGTGAACCAACTGGTGGTCCTATAAAGAGGCTTCTGAGGGAGTTGGCTTTCTCCCTTCTGCCCTCAGCAACAAGGCCCCATCCTGGAAGCACAGAGGATCCTCACCAGGCACTAGAAGCTGCACCTTGACCTTGGACTCCCCAGCTTCCAAAACTGTGAAAAATAAATCTCTGTTCTTTATGAGTTGCCTAATCTCTAGTATTTTGTTATAGGGGTACAAAGACACCAACTCCAACTCAACTCTAGCCAAAAAAAAAAAAAAAAAAAAAATTCACAATTACATTCTCATTTAAGATTTTTTAAAAATGTTCTTCTATTTTTCAGTTGGAATTTGGTACATTTATTTACCACGTTTATTAAAGATTTCCTTAATTCAGGCATACCTAAGCCTTCCTGTGATCTCAAAAGAAAAGACAGATACGGTGGTGGTAAGTTCTGGGAGGTACAAATCTTACAGGGTGTTTCCACTGCCTGCACATGAGCAGGACAGCTTGGCTTGGGTATGGGCTGAATTAGCCCCCTCCGCATATGAAATCCCTAGTTGGCAAGACCTCAGTATATGGCTACATTTGGACACAGAGCCTTAAAGGGGTAATTAAGTTGAAATGAGGCTGTTAGGTTGGGTTCTAATCCAGTCCAACTGTTGTCCTTGTAAGACTCTAAGAGGAGGATATTCAGATGCACCCAGAGAGGCTGCGGGGATGTGCACACAGGAGGAAAGGCCATGAGAGGACACATGAAAAGATGGTCATCCACAAGCCAAGGTACAGGCTCAGGAGAAACCGCCCCTGAGGACAACTTGGACTTCTAGCCTTTAAGAAATATCGCAAATAAGTTCCATTGTTAACCCTTTCCACACCCCAGCCCCTGGCTGTGGAATTTAATTATGTCATCCCTAAAAAGTTAATTCTTTTTCTTTACCAATTATAAAACCATTCTATTCTCTTCTTGCTTTGATTGTTACAGTTGAGATTTTAGTTTCCCTGGGTGTATTTCATTTTGCTTTTGAGGACCTTGGCAATGTATAAACGTTACCATAATTTGGTACAACTCAGCATGGTTTGGATTTATCCCCCAGGCCAGGCTTTCTGCACAATGGTACTGATAGAACAAGAAGCAAATGTGGCTCTTCTAGGAGAAGGGGCCAGCCAGGAAACTTAGTGGAAGGGGAATGCTCCAAGTGTGAATGTTGTCACAGAGGAAACCAGGTGCTTAGGCTTAAGGAGGTAAGACCCAGGGAGAGGCTCCTGGAAGACACCCGGCTCTTTGCTGGATATGGAAGAAAGGGTCACTTGGTGCACCAAAGAGGTGAGGTCGGATTCCAGCAGCAGAAAACTTTTGTGAAAGTTCAAAGATGTAAAACAAAACTAAACAAACAAGTTGCTCTAGCCAAGACTATAGGCCATGGTGGGCCATGGGCCTGGCTAGGAGATCAGACTTTGCTGGAAGCCAAGGCTGAGTAGTGATCAAATGTTCATTTCAGAACCGGGAACACTATACAACCATGCCTCCAGAAAGGTGAGTGGTTTTCCATTTTATAGACCAGCAACCATACTTAACCGTCTCAAATTATATGGAGATGAATTAACTCTAGTATGGACACATCCAAAAGCAGGGTAACTACTGGATTTGGGCCACCTCCCCATCTTTAGTGCCCTGGGATTCTCCCTCCACTACCCTCTTCCATACACCAGCCTCAGTGGGAGATTGTAGGCCTCACCTTCCGGCAATGGTCGACATAAGAGAAAACTCTTCTGCCCTCTCAATAGAGTCTGAGACCCTTCTGCTGGGCTCCCTGGCCCATAATCATGGCTGAGAAGTGCAGACTGTTTGTCATCATCAGAGTCTACGGGGGGGGGGCAGCATTTTTGGAGGAGACCTGAGCATCATCTGAGGGAGCAGTGCAGACCTGTACAAAAGGGGGTGACTTAGTTACTTTTCTCTCATTGCTGAGACAAAATACCTGACACTCAAAGGAGTGAAAGGAGGAAAGGCTTATTTAGCTCACAGTTTGTGCTGGTTTCAGTTCATAATCAATTGGCTCCAAAGCAGGATGGCACAGGGCAGAGAGGCAACAGCTCAGTGTGGCAGAAGACAGCAAAGGCAACAATGGAGAGAGGGGTCCAGAAAAGCCTCTTTCTGTCCCTTATATAGTATCCAGTCTACTGGGATTAGGCTGATACCAATCCAGTTAGTGGACTGATCCAGCAATCACCCTTAATCCCAGCAGCATTAATGCCAGTATTGTACTAGGAATCAATCACACACTCTAGATTTGGCCACCTCTGAAAAAAAAAAAAAAAAACAACTATGACCACATGAGACCATGGGGAGACATCTAGACACAAACCATAATAGGAGAATTCTCCTGGGAAGGAGGAAAGAGGAAAGAGGAAGGCAGGGTGAAGTGATGGAACCGGTAAGGCTGGTGAGGACATCAACAGCCTTTGGAGAAGCTCTGCCAAGAGTAGGCAGAGTCCTGCATGAGCAAGAAGCAGAGAGAGTAGAGTGGTGTGAACAAGTCCCAGGACACCAAAAACTCCATCACCAAGATCCAGAGCATATCGTGGTCCTTGGTGTTATATCATATGTAACCAGCCTAGAACATTACCACTTCCATTTCCCAGTATTGGTTTCATTTTATAAAGATGTGTCAAGTACTTATATTAGAACAGAGGTATACAGCTGGTGGCCCATGGATCACATGTGGCTCTGGACAGCTAGCAATGCAGTCCCACAAGATACTTTTAACGTTGTTATATGACATTTAGTGGTACTTTTCATGTCTCCAATGTGCTGGAGCATGCCTAGGCTACAAGGGAACTCTGTGTAGGCAAGGGCCTGGTGCAGCACTAAGCTCATCTCCTCTGCCTTCCACATTCACTCAGTCAACTGGAAACCCACATGTATCAGACATTACATGCACTCCTGTGACTTAGCAAACTCAAATTATGGCAAATAATTTTATGCACTTTGAAATGTTAGTTAAACACAGTTCTATGAATAGTGAAAAATATGCAGCCTGTCTATTTTGATACAGAAATTTGTCTATGGCCATACCACCCTGAACATGCCCAATCTCATCTGATACAGGAATTTGT